TGTTTGGGGATTCGGGTCGGTGCGGGGGTGAAACGTTATAAGAACCAGATGAAATTTTTGTTTAAAATTTTTCAAAAACAAAATTGAAAAATGAAAATTGATAAATGTAACGTAAAGGAATCACGTACTTGTATCACCTGACGATATGACAAAAGCACAGGCCTCGATATCTCAGGCCAACCACACAATCATCACTCCACGTTCTCCCTTTTTAGAGACTTTTACGCGCACGTACTATCATAGGGAGTTGAGCAAGTTTTGCGAAATAAAGGAAATATGTGTTGAAGGACTGCGCGTAGGCCAATAGTCGCGTGGAATCGCTCATAAAGCTTTACCCGCTTACTTTCATGTGCAAATTCGAGAAAATCTGCCCCCGACAGCGTTTCCTCAGTGGTACTTGGCAGTATTCGGCCGACGAGGATCTACGATCATGGCCGAGCGAGCAGCTCTTGGCCACTACTGTTAGAGGCAAAATAGTCGATATCGACACTCATCTACGATGTCAGAGGACGGCTAAACATTTTTTAGGAACTGCGCCCGCGCGGTTGTAAGCGCTCGATAAGCCAGACCGCTCTCGAGGAGGCTTCCAAGGCTGTCGACCTTGAGCAAAATCTATCCCTTCTATTAGCCAGGGCCGGGTAGTTCAGGGTCGTCCCGGCAGAAGGCGCGCTCAAACTGCTGATCAACATAGTCCTGACGTCGTCCTAAACATGGCAAGCATCTAATTCTCCGGCTACCGCTTGTTATCTACGATTCGTGGCTGATTGATCATACCTTCGACGCTCAATGGCGATTATAATAATTGGCTGACCGATAATGAGTACATTTTTTTTAACAAACCTATTTTAATCTCGGAAATCAAAGGATTAAGCAATCAAGCATTTCAATTCATCTCTAGATAATAGACGATGTTTCAATATTTTCGATTCGTGCATTTTTTTATTAAAAATTATCAATTTTATTAAATATATTAATTTATTACTGCGGAGTAGTGCCGTATTTGGCTGTAGTATGACTATATCCAAGTCCCTTCGTATTGGCAAAAGAAATCTATTATCTTTTAATATTTACATTTTCCTTTTGATAAACATGACAAATATAATCAAATTCCAATAAATTATAAATTTAATAAGTTATCTTCGGAATTATTTATTATGAATTACTAAAGTTTACGTTATAATGATTGATATTAAATTTTCTTCCAAAAATCACTTATAATTCAATAAAAATATTTGTCGTTATTCTTTGTACCTAATCTAATAATATCATGTTTTGAAAGAAAAAACAACTAAATATTTTGTATATTTTCTGAAAATGTTTTCACCACTTTGCATTTACATTAAGCAGATTATCCAATTTTGAATAAAAATATTTAACTTACACATTAAAAAATATATAAAATGTACTAATAAATAAATTATAAAAGCTGTAGTTATTTTTATGCTTTTTTACTCGTAGTTTAAAACTTAAATGATTTTTATAAAATAAATTCACCGTAAACATTATAAAAATTTGATGGTTTTTTTTTTTTACTCTCGTAGCTGTACGTTATGTGTTTATTGCCCTTTATAAAATTTGACTTATATTGTATTATTTATAAATTTACTTATTATTAAAATTATTACAATCATTACAATTTATAATAAGTATAAACAAAATATATATTGTCTTTAAAATATTTGCGTCATATATGATTAAAAATCAAATTTACTAATACGTACAGCAGTAAACATAATAAGTGAAACAATTTTTCTTAGAGCAATAACAATTTTAAAATTTTCTACCCACTATATTTTTAAAAAATATCAATTGTATTTTATACATCGAAATACAATGTACATAACATTTTAAACATTTTCAAAATAAATTATGCCAACAATGTAAAATTTTTATAATCAAATTATAATAACAACAAGAATATCCAACTTTTTTAACAATTTAAAAATATAAAGATTGAAAATCACGTGAATGATGGCTTTTATCAACAATATGCACTACTGGCCAAACTTTTAAGAATTGCGGTTTCTTAAAGTTCAAGAACTCTTTGTACGATTTCCACAATATTTTTATTCGTTTGGAAAATATGTTGAAAATAATAAAAAGAAAAATTTATTATTTAAATATTTAATAGAATATATAATGTTATTGAACATTTAAATATTACTATAAGATATAATGTTCAATAAGTATCATTTTTTTTTTTTTTTTTTTTTTTTTTTTTTTTTTTTTGTAGACTTATAACGGTTTATAACCAGGAAAAACAATTTAAAATTGTTTGAAGTTACAAAGCAGATTTTTTTTTACTTTGTTATTAATAAATAAATTTGTATATATAAAATATATCGTTAGTTTCAAATATAAATCTTAATATTTTATAAGCAGCGATACAATCAATCAAATATTAAATTTGTTATTATTAATTAAAATTGTATTTTATCGTTGTATTTTATTAGGAAAATTTTGAGTCATTTTCTGTAAGTCGATGCTTATATGATTAGAAATATGTAATATTCTTTGCTTTTGACTTGAATGAGAAGTTTAATACATTTTCATAATCTTATATTTTATATTTTAGTAAAAATAAAATAATTAAAATGTTTGTATGTAATTTAATACATAAATTTAATTATTCCCAAAACTTATTTACTCCTGGTAAAAAGTTTCTATTAGCTAGAGTACAATAATAGTTGAAATAATAAATTTGTTTCTTTTTATAAAAGAAAATCATATGTGTTCATGAGCGTTCTTTGACGTTCGAAAACCATATTTAACGTAGTGAAAATTCAAAACAAATAAACATAAAAGATGGCGCACGAATGATTTTAATAATATCATTCTTAAAAAACTCATGTAGTTGATTGATGAATAGAAAAAAAAAAAAAAGTCAAAAATCATGTACAAAAGATGGATAGAATGACTAGGATAAATTGAGAAAATTCGATCATGTTAGTGAACTAACAGAAATTGAGGCTTTATAAAGGCTAAATAACGAACAGATCTTCGTCAATATTTCTAAGCTGAACATGTACGGAGGAAAAAAAGTTAAAAATAAAATACAGCTTTCTTCTTCTGACAATCGTTCTTCTTTGCCTTTTTATTTTTTGTTATGATTGTTATTAAAATTATCAGGTTTTTTTTTTTCTTTTAAGTTACGAAAGAAGCGAAGTATAGAAAAAAAAA